CCGGTTTTAATACCTATATTTTTTCAAAATTATATTTTAGAGATCTTCATCAGGCGATGACTAAGTCGGATGTCAAATACTTAACTTCTAAAATCAAACTGCTGTTTTTCAAAGGCATTGGAGAGGATATTGTAACATCACTAAATGTGCAAGGGGGTTTTGGCCTCCTTAATTTGGGCAAGCAGCTTTCGGGTCGCCGTGCTCAATATGTTTGGCATACCCTTACCAATGTTACTGATTGGAATTTTAACATCTTTAGGTATAAGCTCCAGGAATTTGTGAATAAGCTGGCTGACTCCTATCAAGCTTCTACAGACTCTATTCTAGCAATCCCTTGGTACAAGTTCCTCACTGGGTTGACTCTAAATTATCAGGGTAGGGATATTTCTACTATGGTTGATCAAAGTGATATTTTTACGAACACCGAGAAGGTGTATTTGGAAGCATGGTTTGATTTAATTGGTTCACTTCGCAAAACATATACGGCACAGCCGAGTCATTTTTCACATGATGAATATAGGGACTTCTTCGGGTCACCCCCTTCTACTATTCTCCCACCACTATTCGCAGATTTACCGGGGGACTTTTTCAATAGTCGTTCAAAGAAATTTAATATTGAAGCAAAGCCATGTGTTATCCCGGAGGGTTGGTCTAATCTTTATGATTTGGATCCCGCTGATTGGGTAAAATTTTTTAAGATCTTGGCTCATGGCAAACGTTGCTACCCAGATGGTATGGACGCTGTTCACCGACTCAATTTGGGTCATTTTACGCATCATTCTGACCGTGAATGTGAATTCTGTGGTCGTTATGTCTGGGGTCGCTATTACACCCATCATGTCTACACAAAGTGTCGGGTCACTAAGATTCTTTGGCAACTCTGCCGTCCACGCTCACTACCAAGGAGGCTACGCCTCTTTATTTGCAATTCCTCCCTTCAACCATTTCAATTAATGCAGCTAAATCGATACCTCGCCCTCCTTTATAAGTTTCAAAAATTTCGACGTGGAGGGGGCCGGAACGTTGAGCTCACGGTCCAATTCATTCGCAAATGGGTATCGTACACATCGAAGAGTCTTAACAACTACTCCTACACACTTAATCTATAGGATGCTGCTGAAATAAGGTTTTAGGCAATGATGCTTTTTGCCTTTAATGTATATTGTTTTTCTGTTTGTTATATTTCTGTATGTTAGTATGTATATGAACTCAATAAACAGATTGTATATGTAAAAAAAAAAAAAAAGGAAATGTGAACTGACCCACACAGAAGATAGCTGCAGATGCAGAAAGAGAATAGCTTATATTACATAACTATTATAATAAGACAAGCAGCGATGATAGTCTGGATAGTAGGAAATAGAAATTTTGGGTAATTTCAGGGCAGTCCTACCACTCAATTCCCTAAGAAATTTAAGGGAGTATAATTTTTGAACAAATGATAGTGCCAACCCTTTCTCTAGATATGACCACTTGGTGAATCCTCTTCCAGTTCTTTTAGCTGAGAGAATGACCTACTAGAGTGATATACTAATGTAGTCCTTAATCTATGTAAATGAAAAAGTGTTAATCTCTTAGACTTCGGTACTTCGTCCTTCTTTACAAGTTCCAAAAGTTTCGACGTGCAGGGGGCCGGAACGTTGAGCTCACGTTCCACTTCATTCGAAAATGGGTATCGTACACATCGAAGAGTCTTAACAACTACTCCTATACACTCACTCTATAAGAGCTGCCGAAATAAGGTTTTAGGCAATGCTGCTTGTTGCCTGTAATGTATATTTTTCTCTGTTTGTTATATTTCGGAATTTCTCCTTGAACTTAAATAATGCTTTTATATAGTTTTTAGTTGGTTTTTAGAAAATATACAATATTTTGATTATTTTAAACGAATAGTTAGTATGTAGAAGAACTCAATAAACAGATTATATATGTAAAAAAATAGACTTCAATGCTTCAGTATTCTTTTAGACACATGTTTCCTGCAATGGACGATGAATCTGCATTTAAAAAAGAATTCAATAGTATTACGCTAGCAAGTACAATAGTAGAAGCGATTCCTAATGTTATTGCGTCAAGAGAACGAATACGATATAAAATCACCTACAGATTCTCTTCCATGCAAATGAAAGAAGTTTTTTTTTTTCGCAATCAATATAAAAATAACACCCCAATTTTTGCAACTAAAAAATTATTCATATTTCAAACATGCTATGTAAATTATAAATTTATTTATGAGACAAACAAGTACCCATAGGTATGAGGAGAAGTAAAATTAAAAGATATTAAGATTTTTTTTACATATTTATACTGATGATTTAACTTCAGTGATCATGATAGCATCTTCTTCATCACCAGCATTCTCTTTTTGTTGAATGAATTGTTTAATACCTTCTTGACCCAATTTTTCCATCATTTTACCAGCATCAAATGGTTGAACTTCAGTGGATTTGAACTTTCTTGCTGGAACCTTTTCGTGGAACAACAAATCCAATTCAGCAAATGTTCTACCCTTAGTTTCTGGTAAATCAAACCAACACCAAACAATTGACAAAATAGTAATACCAGCCCAAAGGAAACCAGTCTTTGCTTTCCAGTTCCATTCAGTTGGATTCAACATATATGGAGTAATTATACCAACAATGATACCAGCAAGATTATAGAAGTTTCTTGCCAACATAACAGTTCTAGCTCTTAATCTAGCAGAAGGCATTTCAGAAACAATACAGTAACATAATGGACCAATAGTTAAATCATACACAAAGGTATAGACCAAAATCATACTTCCAACACCCCAACTGGCATTCTTTGAAGTTGCACATCCAAGACCACCAACGAGCAATAATAAGACGGCCATACAACATAACCCTCCAAAATAGATAGTAAATCTACCCACTCTTCTAGCTAAGAACCAAGAACCAACAGTACCTACAATACCCAAACAGTATTGGATGATGGAGAAGTTGAAGGCCATGGAGGTAGGCAAACCAGCTTGGGTATAGAAGTAAGTAGAGTAACCCATTAAACTTGAACCAGTAATACTTTGAACCAACCAAGTGAACGCAGCAATTCTAGTTCTTCTTGCATTAACACCAGCGAAACAATCCTTAATACTGACACCAGAATTAAGAGCATCTTCTTCTTTAACTGTCATTTGAATCTTGGTTAACATATGTTCAGCTAAGATTTCCTTCTTTGGTAAGTGTTCATTTTCGGACAATAATCTACAAAGGGAACGTTTAGCTTCTTGATATCTTCCCTTCTTGACTAAGAACCAAGGTGATTCTGGAGCTAAATAAACACCTATAGCTAAAGGAATTGGCCAAATCCATTGAACAGCAAAAGCAATACGATAAGCATGTTCACCATCCATAGTAGAAATAGCTTTGA